ATTTAAATTATAAATAAAATATAAGTATTTTATAATGTTAATGATCAAATTATAAATAAAATATTAATATTTAAATTATCAATTTTTAATATCTTAAACAAATTATAAAAATTAATATTTAAAAATAAATTAAATTAAAAATAAATCATCATAATAATATTTAAATTATAAATAAAATATTCATATTTAAAAAATAAAATAATATATTATTTTTTATTTTATTTCATTCATTGTAATAAATTATGTAATAATTATTTAATTTTATTCTCATCTTATTCTACTCTTGTAAAATAATTATTTCATTTCATTTTTATCTATTCCACCGTCCAAGTATAGTAAAAATGTTTGTCATCTTTGTTGTGATCTTAAACACTGTAACTTTTTGTTTTGCTTCCTTGAACAGCAAGTTCAAACAAGGTAGCTACTGTGTCTTGATTGAATGTTTGAACCCCAGGGTAGGGGAGGCGGTCGTCCTTGCTGTGACTTTCCATTACGATTCCAAAATCATGGGTTCCCGGCTCATTCCTAGCTGTGTTATTTTCATTTAGTCTTTATGTAGTAATAATTTTTCATCTGAAGAAGTGTATTTGCGCAGAAAATATCTGTGAAGGCAAGGGCGACCTTTCAAGTTGTAAGCACAAAAACCTTTTGAGAGTAAAAATGACAACATGTAATGTACTCCGAAGATGGTTCAGATTGCCTGAACTACTGGTCATATTCACTTTTGGTATTTCATCCTTTGCTTAATTACTCTCTTCTTATATTTTGTTTACTCTCTTTTTAGTAAGATTTATTATTTTATATAGAATGAATGGTGAACCATTTAGAGGATGGGTGCCAATCAGGGAGCTAGTACAAAGTGTTTTACATGAATGCCAATCATTTTAACCTTAAGAGAAACTGAAAATAACAATGTATGATCAGTTCAATGGCTTGGCATTAATTAAGCTGAAAATTCAAATCTCTCTTGCAACATTTTTCTCAGTGCATTGTTTAGAAATTCAGGAAATGACTCTTTGGAAACAACTTGAGCTTGAAGAGATTACATAAAAATCATTCCCTCCAAAATGATGTGCTCTATACATACTTGAGAAGTTGAAGAGAAGTTATCCAAAATACTCTTACTAAATTTTTTTTT